CGCTCAGGACTCTAATGCAAGTATCTCTTCTGGGTCCTCTGCTGGTTTTCCTGTTTTTCCGACCCACCTCGCGTATACGTTATATTTGTGCAAAACCAGTTGGTTGCACACAAGCAGCAACAAAGCGGAAGTATCGTACATTGTATTGTTGTTATTTCTCCGGTATCCCTTTCATTGTAGAAAATGCTGAAAATGCACTCAGCTATTGAAATCTGAACCGCAGTTACAGCCCACAATATTCGGGCATTTGTCCTTTTTTTTGGGTTATATATTGAAACTCTTTACTTGCTTGCTGGATATAGGGAAAGACAGCAGTCAGGTGCACGTAGTGGGTCAAAAAAAGAGGTATGTGAATTAATTCTGAGGAAGATTCTTTCAAAACATTGAACTTGTGATACAAAAAAAAAAAGGGTAACGTTAAACCTGCGTAATGATGTATGAATTCACCTTAAACCGCATAGAAAACTAATTGGTTCAACTTGAAATAACACATCCGACAAAAATGGTTGACCGAATTAATTAGATTTGGTTTAACATAAACAGTTAGTGCCTCGAACAAACAATTTACAATTAAGCTGTGAAGGATTATTTTAAATTTAATGTTTAATTTAATTTTAATAAAATGGGAAAACAAGTGTTTTATATTTGCAGCAATTAATTTGTTTTGGTTTATATTTAGAAATTTTTTTGTTTGCCTTGCAAAATATATTTACTTATTTTCTTCTGGACCAGATTTGAATTTAGTTTCTAAAACTTTGAAGATTGCTAAAAAGAATAGTTACTACACATAGAGACATTACAATTCATTTTATGACTTTGTTTATTTATGAGAAGAAGTTAGTACGTATAATTTTCTTCGAATTAGATATATTTTATGTAAGGCAGTGCGTTCACGCATAGCTCGCATACTTCCTATATGCCATACTCTTAGCCTGGTTGCAAGCCACTTGGCCCACTTACACACTTGTTTCGACGTGATCAAACTAATCTTCTTTCAAACATCTGTTTATAATTTCAGCCGAGAACGTAGAGCATCTGGGCCTATTTGCCATTGCACTTGACTGAGCTTTGGCCCGGCGGCGCTCACATTCGCACTGTCACCCACTCAGATGAGAAGCGTTTTAACCAGCTAACCACTTCACTCGAGTGTTTGCTCACTTTGCGGGCTGTCTCACCGAGAACCTTTCTCCTGCTTTCTCCTGCTTTCACCCACTTTCGGCTTGCTGTTACCGCTTCGGTTTGTGGCTACTGCTCTTTTTTTCGCATATGTTTTGACACGCCCTCTTTTTGCGCCCTGATGTTTTTGCTCCCCAACGATTTTCTTCGCTTTTCTTTGTTTTTTGTTTACGACCGCCAGCTTCCCTGGTATTTCCATTGTCTGTCGACTTTCACTCAGTTTATTTGTACTCATGCATCATAAGGGTTTAATGGATTTTCCGTTGGCCTAGCAGCCCCTAGGTCTCGTTCCCGTTTGCTTTGCATCACTTACCCACTTTTCACACGCCCCTAAAAGCAAATAGCGTGTGGACCTACGCAATGATTATCATATTACGGCCATTGTGTCTGGGACCACACCTCACTTTCCATCCATTCCGCACTTACCACTTGGCTTTATGACTTTATTTTCGCCTCCCTTCTCGGCGGCAGTTAATACATTTTTATAGACTTGCCAAACTACTTAACAACCCCACTTTCGGCTTATTTTCCTTCTTCTGGGCTGTCTCTCTATTAGCTTTTCGCGTGCTTTGTCATTGCCGTTAATAGACTTACTTCCTTCGTGCCCCAGTTTCCGAGCCAAAGTAGCAACAGACCATTAAAGCCAACTGCCCACCTGACCATCTGAGACTGACCGCCTGGTCATAAAAAAATTGGTCAACGCGGCTTATTGTTTATATGCCAGCTTTGGATTTTAACAATCCAAGCGTTGAACTATTTAGGAGCTATAATTTAATGCCTGGATTCGTGCCGATTCTTTTCGTGAAGTATAAAGTTGTGCTGTAATTATCTGAAATCCTAAAGAATAGTATGCACCCTATTAATATAAAAATGGTAAGGAGCAGAGGGAACACAAATAAATTAATTCTATAGCCACCATCTAGTGCACTCAGCTCCAGTTTTGGCCAACGGCTTCCGGCACACTCTTTGCTCAGAAATTCTGTTTACAAATGCCAACATTTTTGCAGACTTCAGCAGCAGCTGTAGTAGTCAGATCGAGAAGAACAAAAATATGAACACGACTACTGGTTGCTTTCGGTGGCCCATGTACTTGGCTTGTCGTAGTCTGAATCTGTCCTCAACACACATCAATGCTATTATTAACACCGTATACACGAGCACGGATTCTGAATGATGCCTTCAAGCTCCGAGGCCAAAAACCCAAAACATGTGTCGTTGTCCTTGTTGCGTATATGTATATGTATAAGTGGCTCTATGTGCGAGCCTGTTTATGAACCACTGTACTCGGCCATACCACATACACAAGTATATTCACATACACACAGCTAGCTGGCACAGGAATACATACGCATGTAAACTGCTTTTGGCGTGCATTAAGTGGTCTTAACTTCCAAAGCAAGGACATTCTGTTTGGGTTCAAGGAATATTTTTCTCTCATTTTGCAGTCAAAAATACCATGTTGGTTGAGCGACCATATAATGTCAAACTCATGTTTCTGAAGGAATGAGCGCCAAATAAAATTATAACAGAAGCTCTAATTTATTCTTCGTACATTTTTACTCACTATCTGATTAAAGATGTTAAGTGCCGCACATGATTTTTATTTCTTTCAACCTATCCTACCTGTGTATTGATTAAATTTGTTTCCCCTTGCAACTTTATGCTCGCCCCATGTACAAAACACGTAATCCTACCTATTTGGGTTGTCTGGGCCAACTTCAAATTTACAACTGGCAATTTGAAAGTCAGAACCCGTCTGACCCTTTTTTCTTTTGGCTCATCAATGAACCAATAAAGTATGCTACCAAAAAAGGGCCGGCAATTGATGTTTTATTTCCTCGTTACATGTGTGGGCCATACAAATGCAGTCAGGAAAATGTTTACCTCTACATTTGCCATCCTTGTTTGTTCTGCAAAATCAGGTTAACGAAGAGTCTTCATCTGGCCAATTTAAGTGCGTGCGGAATCTTCTCCGATGAGAAGCAGGTTGCAGTATTCGACAGATACAATTAGCACTGCGAGTCTAGAACTAGTGCGGCATTCGACGAATTTTAGGAACGCCAGGGCCCAGATGATAAAGATGGAACTGGAGCATTCTGATAAATTGAAATTTGAGCTGAATCGTAGTGCTGTTCGTTAGTTTGGTGCAGCACTTTAGCCCTGATCCAGCCACTTCAAAGTTTGCGTTGTCGCCAAGTTCGGAGAGTAATGAAAGTTACGTGCCTCCTTCTCTGACGGGGTAGCACTTCTACGAAGGAAGAAAAGACGCCAGAACTACAGGACAAAGGACGAGGACGTGACGGCGTCAAGTCGCAAGGCGGTTGCATTCAAATTAAATAGCATTTTGATGAATATTGATTGATTGCCTTTGCCTTGGGACAAATTAGAATCGCAAACCAGCAAAGTTTGTTTCTTGTGCGCCACAGGCGAGTTAGCCAAGTTTAGCCTTGAGTTTAGCAAGGCAGCGCGTATTCGATTTCGAATTATTTTCCTTTTCGTTCAACAAGGTCAAAACCAATATGAAAATATTGAGACATTCTTAGATTACACATGCATAGATAGCATCAGCTAACAAATGATTTCTATTGGATTAGAAGAACTGGATATTGCAGCAAACTTTGGTGCAGTTACAAGTGTGCAAACGATCTTAAAAATCAAAACAATATATACATATACATTTTTCGCTCTTTTAAAGCATTATTGCTTACAAAATTTCCGGCATAAATTTATTTCCGTGGGTGTCGCTGTGCCCTTGTTAAATATAAAAGGATTTTCTGGCGCTAGCTGCCGAGCCAACGTTAAACCATTTTCGTAATGGAGGCTACAAAGTATGGAAGTCTTCGCAGACGACAGAGGACCCACAAGGCAAGGCAATGTCCTCCGGATGAAACACAATGCAAGCGGCAACCGGAAATGAGTAAACAAGCGTCAAATAGTGAAAACAGCGGACCCAAGTACAATGCAATACCCAGTAGTCCTGGTCCCATCAACATCCACTCCTCGAGTCCTTTTTCGTGCCTCGGTAAGAGAGAACAAATAAATGAAACATTAAACAAGACAAGAAGCGGCACGAAAGGAGAATAAGTAGTGCTGGAGGGGAACGCGCGCCGCACAAGGACGAAAAATGGGTACCGAAGACAACAACGGGATATCCTGGAACTTTATAAGGAGCTCCCCAGAAAAGGACAGCAACAATAACGGCAACGGCAACGGCAACGGCAAGGACAACGAAGTTTATTTTAACTTTTGATTTCCGCCTTTTTCGGCGCAGCTCTCGAGTGCATTGGCAAATGATTGCATTGAGTGGCAAAGTTGCACTTTCAAGAGAATATCGAGTAAGTCGGTTCGGCATTAAAAATGAATTAAACTGACAATATTCTTTTGTGTTGACGCAACGGCAAAGAAAACAGAGTAAGGCACAACGATTTATTTTGCACCTGACACAGAAACGCGACGTTCCACCTGATACATACCTTTCAGCGTGTCTAGTGTACCTTTTGCTGTGCTTCTAAGGGGTATTCATCATACATGCTGACGTTTTCTGCTGTCAAACAGTGACTGGCTGAAAGTCTCCAAATTTTAAACACCGATTAAATAGAGAAAATGCCACAAAGTCCAATCCAATCAAATTAAACTTTTGCAGAGTGGCTATCACACCCCACTTCATTGGGCTAAAAACAAATGTTCCTGAATTTTCTGTTACATTTTGTTTAACACAAATGTTCAACTAACTTTTAACCAATAAGCCTTGACTTGATTGTCCACAAGTCTTTATACCTTTGGACATGAATTTGATTCTTAGTAATATTCAAACAGAGCCTCACACATCTTAGTCAAACCACTGTCTCTGGAAAAGCCTTTCATATTTTATACTAAAATGCCAAAGCTCTCAAGGCAGGACTCCATCTCGATGTAAGAATAGGTAGACCAAGCGAACTTAATTGTAGTATTTTTTATTTGAAGAAACTTAAGTAACTCATCAGTTACTTTTGAAGACGACCAATTCGAAAATCCAGACGAAGCGTTTCTGCATAAGGGATTCTTTAGTTTATCCTCCAACTTATCTAGGTAAGTTATTGACGTATTAGTAAACCCCCTAAAAAGATGTTTCAATAGAGTACAGAGTGTTATGTTGGACTACAAGCAGTTCAAGGCGGCTCGCACAATTCAGCGTTATTTTCTCGGATGGATAGTTCGCGAGCATTTGAGAAAACTGAAGCTGGCTGCAATAGTTATTCAAAAATGGTGGCGCCGATTCGCGGCTCAGAGAAATTTACTTTATGTTGCCGAAAGGGCCTTGCAATCGGCTACTTTGGCCCATTACGAGAGGTCTGCCACCGTGATTCAGACCCTCTATCGCGGCTGGTGGTCTCGGAAACATATCTTTGACCTTACCATGCTCAAGAGCGTGCAGAATGCGTTGGCAACGGACCTCATTCACACTTTGGTTAAGTACTTGCACTCGACCAAGAATTCTGAATTGCTGCCTGGCGTTTACACTGTTCGAGACTCGGGGTAAGTGAATGGTCATTCGGTTTCATAGGTCTGAAGATACGCGGATCCCAATACTTATTTATTTCACAGTGATCAGTCATAGTTTTATTCTAAGGGGAATGTATTCTGACTTAATAAGTGCGCATTCTTTTCTTAGTTTTGGATTAATTGCTTGCACTTCAGTTAAATGCAAATCATATAATATTCTGATCCCACACACTTATCTAGCACGTGCCTGGAAACATTGGAGGAGCTGATGGCAACATTTGGCTTTCGATATTATAATACTCAAGCTTGCTACAAAATGTCCAAAACATTGTCGATGTTGGCAGACGGCAGAAAAGCGTTTGCGGCCACATTACATTTCACGGATGTACCATATCCCGGCTTCAATGATCGCGGATTTTGTGGCCCTCGACAGCTTTCTACCATGACCTTTAATATAACAGAGCCAAAACATTTTGAATTCATTCACTCGTTCCTGTCCGGTCGTAGAAAAATTGGCATGTCAATAACGGCTAAGTTCGAGCAAAAAATGGCCAACCATGCGGAAGAAAATCGTGAGTTCGTGTTGCAATTTGAACATGGGTTTTTAACTTATCGTTTATTTTAATATACAGGTTTAAATATGTTCATAAATAGGGACAACAAGAAAAAAAGTTTCATCAAACGGATTTATCTTGACATGAAAAACTGGCATTATTCAAATGGGGATCCAATTCTTCCCATCAAGTTGTTCAAAAGTACTGAGATGCCCGTGGTTCTGGAAGGTGCCCAGAAAACTCTGGAATCAATTTTCGGTGAACTGAAGCCATGTGTTTGTCCAACGAGCAAGGACTTAGCTTACCTTATAAATTCTCTTAATGGTTTCTAAGAAGTTTATAATCTTTGCATTTGTATCTTTGTAAACCTTACGAATATCCCATAATATTGAATTTTAAAATCGTAAATGTGTTTCTTTTTGTCTTATCAATTATCGCCCAAACTTTGGAGGTCTTTTAATTTTTTTCATATACCATTATTTTCATAGAAATATGAATGCTGGAAAATGTTAAATTTTCTTGAAAGACTAGCGCATTCTCTTGTTTTAAATTATACTCAAGCCTTGTAGATCTGACTTAACTCGTCGACCTTCTCCTTTTTGTTTATTCCGCACACATAAGCATAAGTTCAATATTGGCAGCAAATTAAATTTAATGATGTTTGCTGCTTGCAGCCAAAGAAAACCGTAGCAAAAAGCCAAGCAAAAATTGCGAACTGTGGTAAATATTTGCCAACCGATTCTAATGAACTTAAGCATACAAATAGGGAACAAGAGTGGAGTGCCGAATTTGGTGCAGAATAAATTTCACCCAAAGATTTTCAGGGGTTCTGTGGTGCTTGCTTTCGTTAAAGAGCATTCCATTCTCGCCTCAGAGGAAAAAATACATTAGAAATAAAGGAAAAATAGCTAAAGAGCTTACACAAGAAATGGCCTTTCTATTAATTTTACACATTTACTCGTATTGTGGTATTAAGTAGCGCGTGGGTTGGCCATTGTGAAGCCACAAGTCAGAAGTTATTTGATACATTTCATGTTCTAGACTCTTTTGAAAAAAATATAATCACATATGCTGAGACTTTTTCCGTCAATCCAATTTTGTACCTAACTGAGAACGGGATAATATAATTCAGTTGATTTCTGGAGCTCAAGCAAGCAACGCCTCCAGGAATAAACTCCAAATTCTAAGTGATTTTCGGTTGACTCACAAAATTTAACATTTTTCGGCTAGTTTTAAGAAAAAAGTTTCTTTTTTTATATTGTTCCTAAGCATAAAGTGAAATTCTTCGAGCATTGTTTTGAAGTACTCGGCTCTTTTCCCGACTCTCTTACACGACCTTCCATCACAGGTTAGTATTTGTTAATTCGTTTAAATTAATCCTGCCTTACAGCAGTAATTTTATGCAGATTTTTACACTCTTACATGATTTTATATTAATACTCCCTGGATGAGCTTAACACGGCTCTATAATAATGGTGAGCTCACTTTACGCATACGCTAACAGCAAATTAGAATTAACTCCTCCCCCATGGAAAGCATAGTAACACTATCCTTGAACTCTGTGGAAAGCATCATAAACACTGTACTCAACTAGACACCAATACCACATCGAATATCAGTGTTCTTCTTCGCAGACATGGTGGTCATGCTTGGGTCATGGTCAGGGGTTAGTATATGTTATATCGTTTAAATTAAAATAATTTTTTGCAACCGTTTACAGTCTTACATGAATATATATTTAAACTTCCTGGATGAGCTAATACGAGAAAATACTATCCTCCCTGGGACCTTCCTAATCTCCGTACTCAATACACTAATATCGGATACCGAACGTATAAACTAAATCCTTAAAAAAATAAATGTACACTTCAAAATGAAACCGCTGAATAAAGAATGGTAATAGTTAATTAGGCCAAAATTGGGTCAGAAAAACAACGGAGATAGAACTAAAAATACTAGTCATGGGCAGGGAAAAGAATCGGGGAAGCCGAATTAACCCAAATATGCAAATAAATCTGCCAGAAAAATGGAAACAAGTCTGGCCCAAGCTGCACATTAACTTCCGCAGCTCATTAAGTCACAGTCAGCCCCTCGAGGCGGGAGGCTGGCTGGAAATACATATAAATTTATGTGACGCCAACTGGACGATAGTCGCCCAAGAACTTCGCTCCCAGCTGGAAAACAACAATGTCTGGGGGGTGGGAGGTGTTGCCAGTACGCCCTACGTATTTAGATAAATCTACAGGGGTCGAAAAAATGGCTGAAAAGATTGGAATGGAAATGTCGGCGGAAAATAAAAATATGGCGCGGGCCGCCTTTTTGCCTGAAGTTTAATTGGGTCGATTCCCTTGTTTTGCCTGTTTGTTGTTTTTGTTTGTCCAATAAGAAAATGCCTGGATTTTCAAATTTTAAATGCTTTCCCATGCGAGGGTCAAGAGCATTCCTAAGGGGCCAATGGCCAGAGCAGGCCAAACTAATTAGTGGCCATTTTGTGGGTGCTGTTTGATTAATTTTAAATGTGAACTTAATTGAAACTCGGCAAGGAAGGGGATCTCTTTAAAGATTTTAAAGCTTTACTCACTTATTTATCATTTTGAATTGCCGGCATTTCGTCGGTTTTATTCGATTTCAGTTGTCTCTGTCTATATCATTATCGCACTAATTTGAGGGGAACACACCACATGCAGATTGTACACGATTAAATTAATTTGCTGGTTTCGTTGTTGTTTTCTCCAAAAGCCCAGTAATCCGCATGAGGCTATATAATTAAATACGCGCACTGCGAAAAAACGAACAAAGAACCAACGAACCGAGCATCGGTTAGATTGTCAGCATTACTTATTATTACTAGCAAAACACTAAAGCAGATGCAACCTTTAACCTCTTTCTCTACGAATTTGCAGCCCCGTAAACGAATTTTTTGTCAGTGCAGCTGGCCGGCGTTTGCCTGAGATCCAATTCGTTGCGCGTTATCAATGAAACTGGTGATTTTTCTCGTCATCGTCGCCAGCATCGCCCCAGAAAGGAAATGCCTTCGTGGCTACTCGGGCTTTCCTATGCTCCTCTCTGTCGCTCTTTGGCAGGACCTTTTCTCTCAACTTAACGAAGGAACTCGGAGAGAGAAAGCCCCGTAATGTTTAACGGTCGGAAAGGTTTTGAATTGCTTAGTTTTTCTTTCATAAGAACAAAAATATTTAATTTTTTATAATTTTTTTAAAAATGTATGTATATATTTTTTTTATACTTGATTACAATTTTAGTTATAGAAATATGTTCGTCCGGCGAACTCGAAAAATTAACGGTGGTTTGTCCCAACACTGTTAAAATATGGGGAATTTATTTCATACACTTAGCTTGCAGTTAATAACATAAGTGAAACATAATGTTTAGATGTATATTTTTGTGATTTTAATTTCATTTATTAAAAATCTGTCTTATTTATTGTGGTTTGTAAGATGTTTACGCCAGAGTGGTGAGCTTTTGGATTTGTAAACCATTTTAGGAGTAATCTGTCTGTCCGTCATACTTTATATCATACCATATACACGTCTAGATCTCGGGAAGGATAAAATCTGGAAAGTTTCTATCGATATGCCAAAAACACGGCCACAATTTGGAAAATGTTTTGATATCATTATTTTTTCTCACACTCTTCCCAGTTGAGTAACAGGTATCTGACAGTCGAGCAATACACAATCGATGAAATTCCTAAAAAAGCAAATCATATCTTTCGTAACGCCTTCTAACATCCCTGTTCGATTTTCATTTGCAAACTTAATCGCTGGATGAGGTTTAATTAATTGACATTAATTAGGGATAATGCATTTACTGCTTAGTGCCAAGTCACGGAATTAGGGTAAGCCCCTGTAAGGGATCCCCCTTATTCGAGAATTACGGTATTACCCCACCCTGCGTTGGAGGTTCTAAGATGCTTCAATATGCTGCGCTCTCTCTATGCCACATAACCGACTGATTCCCGCCTACTTAAAGTAAGGAAAATCTTTTATGACATGTTATTAGTTGGCCCTGAGCAAAGGGAAAGCCGCGAGTTGTGCGCCGCGAAGGGATATACACGTATGTGTGTGTATGTATGTATAGAACATACATGTGTGTGTGGGTGTGGAGAAGGAGCACCGACTCAGACGGCGGCGAGCTTTAATATGCTTAATGTAATTATGAGAATCGCATAGAAGGGCACCGCATCCCTGCATACAAATGAAAGCGTAATTCGCAAAAGGATGGAGGGTGTCAGGTTGTAAAAAATGCCGGAGGACTTTCGTACCCGCGGTTGTCATAAAAACACACGCAATTTACGTATACAATACCCAGATTTTTATTTTTGCGCGAGAAAATAAAAACTGCATTTTAAGGTTGGTCAATTACAAAAATTTAAATATTGTTCTTTAATTTATGATGCACTAAGACTTTACCAGAGAAGTACCGAGCATTTCGCATTTAAAAATAGGATATCCACAATTACTTTTGTACTAACTTATCGGTCAGCGCACTAAGCTCCCTAGCATATATTTTTGGATCATTTTTTTGACAATTGCCGAAATCCATTTGTCAGTGTCCATTTTCCTATTTCTGTGCTTACTTTTCGTACTCCACCTGACGACTCAGCACCTGAACAGCACAGTAAAACAAATCGGAGATCAGGCATCCTACTTATACTTATTTACATTTACATCGCAAACATATTTATTCCTTCGCTCCTAAATTCGTAAACTGACTTTGCGGCTAATGCAAATGGCAGGCGAAGCGAAGCGTAAAATGCTTTGTAAATTATTATGCCAAGTTAAAAAAATGGTGTGGGTCCTACGACCCCATATACTCGTACATAAATATTTTTCCACAGATAAACAAAGTATTTTCGCAGCGGGACGCTGGCATGTGTCATAAATTTCAATTGACTTATGAATATGGAGGGCAATCTGTTCCCTTGGAAAGTTTTAGCGCCAACACGTGCCTAAAAGCCGATGAATACTGTTTAAATTTATTTGCCAAATTGCTTATTTTCTATGCTTTTATTGGATTAAATATATTACGTCAACTGTAAATGAAAAGTAAAGTTTATAATGAGTCTAGGCTTTAACATATATTTATTTTTCATCAATCCGTGCAACGCCCAACTTCGCCTATATATATACATATATATTAATGTCTTTGTCAAATCTCTTGCCGAAAGCAGTACACAAAGTTTCGTCCGAGTCCGATGCATCATTTTTATGTGGAAAATTTTAGAACAACCTAAGCTTTTAATGGGCCCCGCAGCTCAGTGGGGCGAAAAGTCCTCGGCCAGGACCTCCACATACTCTCGAAGGCGTTAGGACCGTGGCTGAGAGCACCCCAAAGGATATTAACAATAATCTAACCAAATTAACCCAAAGCACTAAAGTGTAAGTGACATTAAGTTAATTTTCGTGTGCGCCAGCAAAAGAATAAACGAGATGAAAAACAAAACGGAAGAGCCGAAACAAAAGAAGTGGCAAATAGGGGGGAAAACTTACGTATTATTTTTCGTATTCTGTTCTTTTTTCTCTGCTACTTTTTTGTACTTTTTTCTTTTGTCCTTGCTGCCGTTGGTTGCATCAACTGTGCAAAATTTCCCACGAGATCAATCAGCCACAGGCTGGAAAACAGGATGGCCAACAACAACAAAGATGCCTGCGATGCGGTGGACTTTGTGGGTGGGAAAAAGCAGCAGGAGCAGCAGGAGCAGCAGTTCCTGTAGCTCCTTGTTGTGGTTTTTGTTGCTATTACAGCCTCCGTTCAAGTTCTTCCTTTTGTGTAACTTTGACCTGCTCGGCTCTGGGAGCTTTTCTTTTTCCCGCTGGTTTATTGTCTGCAAGTAGTAGCAGCTTCTTCCCGAATACTCGTATATATCAGGGCTCCCTTCCTTTTTCACCTCTTGGCATTGGCCTTTGGAGTGTGCAGCTAATGAAGCGGGAGCTGATGAGCCAACTCGGGTCAGGGGCGTGCTAAGTTCAGTGCGAGGGGGTGGGCTTAGCAACTACTTTTTGAGCCATCGGTGGGCAAGGAAACTCACAGAAAAATCTGAGATTTTTGCGATTGTCATAGTCTTACTGAACAGTTTTCCGTTTACTTCAAACTTGAAAATATTAAAAATATTAATGGTAAGTTTTAAGCGATGTTTAATAACGCAAAATGCTTAGCTGTAATTTGCAGCCACTAAATGGTATTGAACGAAGTCAAGCTAATGAGGTATTTTTAAGCCAGCCTTCAAAACGCCACCTCTGCTGGAGACATCATAAAAAACAAGCAGAAAGTTGGTCGGAAGCCAGAAGTTGTCTCTCATTAACGGAAAACACTTGAAAGAAGCGCATAAGTCCCGGAACTGGGCGCTAATTGTCACAGTGTGCGTGTGTGAACTCGAGAGTCCTTTGACCGAATCCAGGAAAATATGCCGCCAAAAGAAAGCCACTTGATTGATTAATGGACGCAAGGCGGCAGTGTCGAGGCGACAAGTGACGAAGTCAGGCTGTACGGGGATTTGCTGCCGCTAAATGATGTGCCAAGTTAGACACGGACTGGAGGGAAGTAGGGCTGGCTGATCCTGGGGTCAAGGGTGGGGTTTTGCCGGAAAGCGAGCCAAAAGTGGATGCAATAAACCGTCAAAATGGCGCCCGGCAAATGA